TTAAGGGGGTCTGAATACTTTCCGTACCCACTGTATATACATAATGGTTTTAATTTTACTATAATAACTCCAGTGTGTTCCAGATGATTGAGCCCTACAATAAGGCACTGGGATCATCACTTCTGAATTAAATGCACCAAAACTTCAATTACATTTACATTATTGCATATGGCAGACGCTTTTAATTTAAAGCGACTTACATTGCATTCAAGGTATGAATTTGATCAGTTCATGTATTCCCTGATAATCAAACCCTTGGTGCTGCTTTGGCAAGGCTATGCTGTCTGAGCCACGGAAATGCTCCCATTTGTAACGGCAAAATTATATTTCGGCTCCTTTTCATTTCAATTAAATGATTAGTCGGTTGATTCCCCAGAACGTGTTTTCTGAACATGGTAAAGTCATGTGTTTTAGTTTTACTATCTGATACCCTCATCGTACCATGGTAATAATCACTGTATTTCTAGTCTCTGTTGATCTCAGTGGGATGTAGTGTTGCTTTCGTCAACGAAAATTATGACTAAATATCGTCGTCAACGAACCTTTATCACGTGACGAGACGAGACGAAAATGCTGGTCATGTGACGATGACTATAATTAAATGTATAATGCAATATCGTTGACGAATAAAAACGAGACTAAATGTGGTTTACAAAATAAAAACTATGCTAAAATGTCTCTTCATTTTCGTTGACCAAAACGAGACGAAACGAAATGTTATAACGTTATTTCGTCTCGTTTAGTTGCGTTATTATTATTATTTTGCAGTATTTCTGTTTCCTGTGTCTCACTTCAGGGGCTGCATCAGGTCGCACTGCGCAGACGCAGGCGACACCACTTCCTCAAGCCCCACTCGCGGCATTATTTAGAACAGTGTTTCCCAACCGGGGTGCCGTCTGTCGAGAGCAGGGGTGCCGTGTAAAAATGTGTGTGTGTGTGTGTGTGTGTGTGTATATATATGTGTGTGTGTATATGTGTGTGTGTGTGTATATATATGTGTGTGTGTGTGTGTGTGTATATGTGTGTGTGTGTGTATATATATATATATATTTAAAGTACCAGGGTATTATCATGTGCTTCTATCAATGTACCATGATACTTTATTGTATTATAAAGAATAATAACTTTACATTAAGGAGTAAAAACCACTCCGATTTTGTTTAGATTGTATTTCTATTGCATTATGCTCTTAATAAGCACTGTAAATGTGATTACAATTGACTAAAATGAATGATTGACAGAGATGATGCTCAGTACTGTAACAAATACATGCCATCTATCACAACCATGATTTTTACTATTACCATGCCATTATCTGATTCGATCACAGTACCATACAACCACAAAGACAATATCATATCGGCCTCCTTAAGAAAGCAAATGGCTGATGACATGATGACACAAAGAGGACAAACCAGAATGACCTTGTTTAGATGCATCCTCTTTATAAACACACACAGTGCACGACAGTCTAATGAGCAGATGTGCGCTGGGGTATTATCATCATCAGACGTGCGTGCGTGTGTGTGTGTGTGTGTGTGTGTGTGTGCACATTTAGCACATGCAACCGATCGAGCGATCGACAGCCTCTATCGATCATCTAATCAATATCTGATAAACAATGAGACACACGCAGAAAATCTCCCACCTCCTTCTTGACGTTGCGCAGCAGCCTCTGACGCGTCTCCGATTCTGTAAACAAACACACAGATTCTCATCCAGAGCTCACCCTGACGGGCTCTAAGCGCTGTTTTTGCACAGATGAAGCTGAACGGCTCACCTGCCATGGCTGCTGTCCGCTGCGATGCCTTGCCGTGCCGCTCGTGCGAGGGATGAATGTGCGCAGGATGACAGACCGTCCTCGTGAGTCAGAGCTGCGCGCGCAGGGTGTGGCGACTCGCATCAGCACCGCGCCGCATTAATGACCGATATCGCGCCGATCATCGGACCGATCTCGCCCGTCCCGGTCCCATCCGATCTCTGTCGGGATGCTGTAGTTTAGCAGCGCTTCTAGTACATAAGGATGATGTTTATGTGTCGGTCAGACCTGCTGCTATTGGTCACACGAGCGCCAATCACCGTCGTTTAAGGATACACGCTAATCACAGGTGCGAGAGAACAGAGCCTGCGACGCATTACAGTGTTTGAAGGTGAAAAGTGTATGGAGATAGATTGCATTATTCCAAATAAATAGATTATGATGCATGAATAGCCTAAATGTAAAGAGATGAACAAAAATTAAACATGTAGAATGAGATCCACAAATAGAGTTTCACAAACATGAATTAAATTCACAAATAAATAAAATGAGATTTGCAAATAAAAAACATATTCACTAAAATTTATTTTTATTCTGCAAACGCAACTTTACCTGGCATTCATTTGTGGATCGCTGCCCGTATATTTGTGAATGGCTTTCTGTGCATTTGTGGATCGCTGCACGCATTATTATTATTTTTTTATAATTTTTTTTATTTGCAAAGAACAGGAACATACAAATTATAAACATATAAAAACAACAACAACAAAAAAAGTATAGCGAACACCCAGCTAACAATTTTTGGTTCCCAGAACATTAGTTTTTATGGTTTGTTTTTGGTTAGCCAGGAAAGTTTTCTTAACGGAAATAGAATGTTAGTTTTTGGTTCCCAGAACGTTATTCTAACGTTAATCTAACGTTCCACTAATGTTATTATAATGTTCGCAGGACATTGTTTTTTTTGGTTCCCAGAACGTTATTCTAACGTTAATCTAACGTTCCACGAACGTTATTATAACGTTCCCAGAACGTTATTTCTTGGTTCTCAAAAAACAAACAAAACAGGAACCAAAAACTAACGTTAGAGGAACATTCTGTGTTTGCTGGGCTGTAAATGTTTGCATAAAGTGGGTATAGAAAAGAATCACCCCCCCCCCCCTTTAAAATAATCACATTTTGTTGCTTTGCAGCCTAAAAGACGGACAGTTTTTGTTTTATACAGCTGTATTTACTCCGTGCAACTTATAACATCCAAGTGAAAGATAAAACACCAACATGCAGAAAAAACAGTAGACAGCTTGAATGTAGGCTTAAAGACAATAGACTCGCTAAATTTATCATTTATTTCTTTAGTCTAGAGCTGGTTAGTCTCAGCCAGGCTCTGCAGGAGAATCTGGAGACTTTTATTTTGAAAGGCGACACTGTTTCCGGCGCGCTTCACGCTCACTGCAGTCGCACGGGCTTGGCGGGAGGCGCTGAAGTTCACAAGCTCACTTTCTTCTTTCACTTTCAGCTGATATTTTATGAATATAATCTATAAAAGGTGAGTTTATTTGATGCAGTGTTCAGTCAGAGCTCGAGTAAAGATCTTTATATAATAATGAATAATGGTCCGTCTCTCGGGTGCTCTGTGTTTTGAATTAGCTGTGCGGCTAAAGCTACTCAACATGCCTGATTCATTTAAACTTAATTTAATTTAACAACACAACGTATTTATTTTCAAATCAGGTAAATAAAATGTTTCATTGTGCTGTTAAAGACATGATTCTAGTATTTTTACATTAGTTATTATTTAATCTAAACTCTTAGCTTGGGGTTTTCAAGTGTGTATTTGTATATATTTTTATGCATTTGTTGTTTTATGTTTTTAATGTGGTATATATATTTATTTAGTGTTATTTCACACACACACACACACAAATATTTATACATATTATTTACACTGCCGTTGAAAAGTTTGGGATCAGTAAGATTTGTAATGTTTTTTAAAGAAGTCTCTTATGCTCATCAAGGCTGCATTTATTTGACCAAAAATACAGAAAAAACAGTAATATTGTGAAATATTATTGCAATTTAAAATAACAGTTTTCTATATTAATATACTTTAAAATATAATTTATTTCTGTGATCAAAGCTGTATTTTCAGCATCATTACTCCAGTCTTCAGTGTCACATGATCTTCAGAAATCATGCTAATATGCTGATTTGTTATCAATGTTAGAAACGGTTTTTGCTGCTTAATATTTCTTTTGGAACCCGTGAAACTTTTTTAGGATTCTTTGATGAATAAAAAGTTAAAAAGAACAGCATTTAATTAAAATAAAAATATTTTGTAACAATATACACCACCGTTCAAAAGTTTGGGGTCAGCATTTATTTATTTTTTTCAGCAAGGATGTGTTAAATTGATAAAAAGTGATAATAAAGACTTATATTGTCAGAAAAGATTTAACTTTATTCATCAAAGAATCCTGAAAAAAGTATCACAGGTTAAAAAAAAAATATTAAGCAGCAAAAACCGTTTCTAACATTGATAATAAATCAGCATATTAGAATGATTTCTGAAGATCATGTGACACTGAAGACTGGAGTAATGATGCTGAAAATACAGCTTTGATCACAGAAATAAATTATATTTTAAAGTATATTAAAATAGAAAACCATTATTTTAAATGGTAATAATATTTTACAACATTACTTTTTTTCCTGTATTTTTGGTCAAATAAATGCAGCCTTGATGAGCAGAAGAGACTTCTTTAAAAACCATTACAAATTGTACTGATCCCAAACTTTTGAACAGCAGTATATATATATAATTTTAAAATGATTAAAATAAATTAATATATTTTAAACATTATGTTGTAATATATTGCATTACTGATTATAATGTATTATAAATATATTAATAAATTTATATAATAATAATAGACTTTCTGCAGGTGGTTTGTAGTCTGCAGTGATCATGCCGTCCAGTCTGGGCTCCAGCAGTCCAGCCGCAGTTCTTCAGGAGGCTTTGGAAAACTCCAGCCGCTTGATTGACAGGCATCTGCAGGAGGATCGCTGTTTCCCAGACCTGTCCGAGCTCCTCAATGTCCCGTCACACAGTAAGAGATTCGGTCTGGTAAAACACAGCCTAATTTTCATTTTTGGGTGAACTAACCCTTTCGATTGCCTCTTGTTAACACATGCTTGTTGAGCATAAAACACATCTGTGTGCTTGTGTCTGGTGTTCGGTAGACATGCCTTCGCTCTCGGGTGTGTCAGACATGGATTACCCTCTGCAGGGACCGGGACTGATCAGCGTGCCGAGTCTCCCGGAGCTCAGCGCCATCCGCAGGGTTCCTCTGCCTCCGGAGCTCGTCGAGCAGTTCGGTCGTATCCTACCACAGAGATGCTCATTTTATACAATACACCCTAATATGAAAGCGTCTTGTAGAATTAATCCGTTAAGTTGTCTGCAGTACCTTAATTGCCACTTTTACCAGATATGCAGTGCAATTGCATGATGGGAGTTTTCCCTGAAATCTCCAGAGCGTGGCTCACCATTGATAATGACATTTTTATGTGGAATTATGAGGATGGGTGAGTAGGATGACATTAAAGGGCACTTATTATAATGCTTTTTTTTAATTTTACATTTCCTTTAATGTGTAATATAGCTGTTTGTGCACGTAAATGATATTACAAAATCTAAATGTGTTCTAGCAGACTTGTGAGTGTGCATAATGTTGGCACTTTAAATATTTCTGGAAGTATTTCGGACGCATGATGTTCACTGAGGTTTATTTGTCTTGTTCGTTCCTTCAGGAGTGATGTGGCGTATTTTGACGGGCTCAGTGAAACTATTCTGTCAGTTGGACTGGTCAGACCTAAGCCTGGTTAGTTGTTTTATCTGTTGTTGAGAATGCTGTGGATTGATTATTAGGATGATAAATCAGTCATTACCTAAAAACATGCATGTAATGCATCGCAATATTTCCTTCTGGAGATTTTTATTTGTCATAATTTGATGTTTAACCACCAATTGTTTTATATTACAATATTATTGTATTGACACGGGTAGTCTTAGTTGTTACAGGTTTTTTTTTTATTATTGAAAAAAACTGAAATGATACACCCAAACAGAAACATACAAACTCCTTCAAGAGAACATTAAAGAGTATCAACACAAAAGTTTGCATGTAACAAACAACAGAAAAAATACATGCACAAAAGAGAGTAAACATAATCAAAAAGTGTATGTGTGTGTATATATATATTAGAGGTCGACCGATAGTGGATTTTGCCGATACCGATAGCTAGGTTGGACCACACTGGCCGATACCGATTAATTAACCGATAGTTTTAAAATTGATACTGAACAAAAACTAAAATAGTGCTTTATTAACAAAAACAGTACTGAACCATACTAGTAGTAGTAGTAGTAAAAAATAAATAAATAATAGTAAATGTTGAAATTAACACACTCTAACAAGGAACAATACTTACACAGCTTTCATTAATCTTAATGCTACAAATGGACTCTTATTTTAAAGTGTTACCATTTAATTTCAACTGTCATGCTTAAAGATGCACATCTTTAAATATATACACAAAGGCTATAGCATTAAAATTATATACACAGCCCTCTACGAACACCTTGGCAATTGAATCGCCATTGGCTAGTAAATTTTTTTGTTTACTC